TCTGAAAAGATAGTTTAATCGATTAAGATAAGTTACGAATCGATTAAATTATCAATTTTAAATTTTTAATAATTATTTTGAATTTTTTAAAAATTTCCGCGAATTTTGAGGCCTCTTTGCCATTGAGCGCGCAGAACTTTTGTTCTATAAGAGATATGGAAAAAAGTCATCAATCCTTTTTTCGCAAAATGGCGTTGTGAAAAACTTTTTTCCATATCTTTCATATTTCGGGAGATAATCGAATTTGCAGTTGTCTCTGCGAATTTTCTCCCCCCCTCCCCTATGCCGGGCAAATAATTTTCATTTACATATCCGTGTTTCAATAATTTTCTCCATTATGAGGTACTCTTCAGTCATTTCCCTCATTTGACTGGACTATGTGTAATTTGCTACGAGCAAGGGATTATTTTAGATTTAGGTTACGGTATAGAAAATACCGATCCGTCCAAATCTGGACGGGTTCAACCAGTTTCACTTAAATCTCTCTAGTATTAGAATTGATAAACTGTATTCAAGTCTTTATAAATTATATGCTTTGTGATGTGACGATACTGGAAAGTTAGTAAATCATACGTTTTATTATTTGACCTGTAAGTGAAGTTCAAAGATCAATTCATATAGAGAGACTTTCTCAGTTTAAAATAAGGCATCGTAACGTATAATAAATGCAAGCATTCAAGCAAATTTCCAATATGCACAAGTTGAAAAGCGGTGAAAATTATTCCGTTACAGAACTAACGAATTTAAATTCTCGTAAGTACAAAAGGAAACAATTATGTAGTAGCAGCTTTTACTGCAGGAAATTATCTTATTAAAGCATTTTCTAATTGGACCTTCGAGAAATGGCTTCAGTCGATGAGTTTATCATTACATTACATTACATTTACCTGCCGTCGTCAGAATCGTTTCCTAATAATTTCACTCGCATAACTGAAACTTTCATGAAATTGTCACAATTTCCTAACACGTGCAAAGATTCTTAATATTTCCGGTTAACGTTAAGTCCGTGCTGGTAGATTACATTTTCTCTTTTTTCATAGACTTGCAGAACATAATTATTTTGTTAGAGTAGAACTTTGCAATCGTTAAAATTTGCCCATAATTTTAAGCAAAAATGAATAACTACCTATTATTGTACGTTATTCAATTATTGGCTTTTGCTTAAAATATTACCTACTCACAAGTATTCCATTGTCGATTATATATAGAAATAATCGATTATTGTGATTGATTATTTCGATTAATCAATTAAATCGGAATATTTAATACTTTATTTTGCTTAATCGATTATTCAAATTGATCGACTTTATTTGCAAGCTGAAAACAATCGATTAATAACTGATTCATAGTATGATTTATCTAGCCCTAGTATCTATCTCGAAAAAGGATTCAATATTTCATAACTCATTACAATTTTTTGTCTCAGTTTGTCAGACTCGTGTTTGTAAATGTTGACTGTACGCTGTAGCAACTAAAGTACAAGCTTGACGCTGGAAGCTGGCGGAAATTTTAAAATGGCGTGGATGCGCTGTGGCAAAAGTAGGCAATTTTAGGTATAACGATTGCAGCCCTTTTTCTTCACTATTCTTATCAGGGGCGTAGATTAAATATTTAAAAATAAGGATCAGTGAGCAAGTAATAGACAGACAAACAGAAGGACTAGTTGTTGATGTTGGTGACAGTGATAGAGATTCCCATGATGACAGTAAATGTGAAAACTAACTATAAAACAAAAGCAATAGGTTAATTTTTTCTTTTTGATAAGTCATGTTTTTACATTATTTTCTAGTACGCTACTGTCCTATTTGTATTAATACTATAATTTACACCTACTGAAAGCTTATTTGTGTATCGGTTCCAAGTGACTTAGCCAAATAGGTCATAAATGGGCAAGTACCTGCGCGACCGCTCGCCAGCTTCCTTCGTCAGACCTGTACT